CTTTTTTAATGTTTGTCCACTTAATTTTTTTGTTTTTTATACATATAAATTATCCCAGGTGGGCCAGCAGGCAGCTGAGGACCTGTCTTCTTATGGTGCTGTGGGCAGCCCATCTCCAGTGCTTCCGCCGGAAGTTCCTCATGGAAGTTCCATTCCGGGAGTTTCCGGAAGATCAGGTTTGCGTCAGCGGATTTCACAGCCCCACGCCAGGCTGGCGGCTACAAGTGGTGGCAATCCTGGCAGTGCATCGGCCTTTGGCAGTATTCCGGTTGAGCAGGGTAATGCACGGGCTTTCGTGGGCCCGGCCCAGCCCGAGGCAGCAGCTGAGTTGCCTTGCACTGTGAAGCTTAGGATATGGTCTCACGATGTGAAGAACCCTTGTGTTGCTCTTGACGCGGACAAGTGTCGCTTGACAATCCCCCATGTAGTACTCTGTAGGTGAGGATTTGTATTTAAATTGTGCTTTAAGGAGTGTTTTTATATTTTTGGGTTTAAGAGAAGAAAAAAAAAAAAGAAACTAATCAGTATTAATAATGGAGGAGAAATGAGTTTGCGTCAAATTAGCTGATAAGTAGCAGTAGAACTGCACTTCTAATTGCTTCATTCTTCGATTCATTGCTCCTTGCTGCCTCTTTTTTTCGGCGTGCATGAAAATGCTGATGGATGGTGTATGCTTGTGTAGTGAAATGGGTGCTCATTTTTCACCTTGCGGGAGGTTTTTAGCTGCTTGTGTGGCGTGTATTCAGATTAACACCGATACTGATCCAGGTTTACAAGGCCAGGTTCAGCATGAATTTATGGGGGCCTCAACTTCTCCAACTAGACATCCTATTGCAGTTCACCCAGTGATATATGAGCTGAGAATATATTCCCTTGAGGAAGCTACGTGAGTAAAATGATTTTATGTTGTTGCATGCTGATTACATGATTATACTATTCTGTTCTTTTCTTTTGTATATTTCTGGGCTAACGGTGTTTTTATTCATGTGACAGATTTGGTTCTGTTCTAGCATCGAGGGCTATCAGAGCTGCTCATTGCTTGACTTCAATACAGGTTAGTTATGTGATTGGAATTGGGCTTGAACGACTATAAATACTTGTTAAACATGTTGGTCTATGCACACAAATTTAAGAAATCGTATTCCATAATATTTGCACCTGCGGAAATGTCGTCTTCAGATTTTCCCTTCCCTTAGTCAAATTTAAAGGAACATTAATTTATCTTGCAAAGTTACTCCTATGTAAATAATGATAAAAAGCTAGGATTTATTACTGTGTTATGTGTGATAGTTCATTTGGATTTTATTATAACTGCAGTTGTAGTTCTTATAAAGTACATGCCTTCTGTAACTCTGCAGTTCTCTCCTACCTCTGAACATCTGTTACTAGCCTATGGTAGGCGCCATAATTCGCTTCTCAAAAGTGTTGTGATTGATGGAGATACTACTGTATCAATATACACAATTCTGGAGGTTAGATTTTTGTACTACTGTTTTGATTTGTTGCTTTCATTGTGGGCATTGNCTGAGCGTGTTGGTACTCTTTGTTTTTGTTTCTGGGTTTGCCATTTGTTTTGTTGTATTGTATACCAATACTCAGTACTGTGACCACATTCAGTAAAATGTTTAAGCCTCTTCATAATAGTCATGGTTTGAGTGTAAAGGAAGCAATTGGGATGTGTGATAACCAAATAAATGCGAAAACATAGGGAGTGTATACTATTTCAACACCCTTTTTTTTGGAAAGAGTGAGTCGTACTGCTTGAGCTATAATTCTCAATAATGATTAATGATTTTTAGTATGTAGTTAATGGAACAGTGCTGAAAGGGCTACATGTATGTTAATGATGATAATATGATTGCTACATTAAACATAAGAAAGGTGCAAGGTAAACTTGCCTTAACCCTGAGAAGTCATTTTTCTGTTTTCCTTTTTTTTATTTTTTTCCTTTGAGCGGGCGCAGGTAACACAGACTTCATATGACATACCATGTTAACGGGATTATGTTGGTTTAATATTTAAATTTCTTATGGTACCTGGTGAAATAAAGGTTCTAGGATGAAAAGATTTAATTTTTTTAAAATCGAAGGCAGATAATTTGGGGTTTTACATGGATATCATTTGGTTCATGCATGGGTATGCTCAGAGAATTGTTTCTTTGGAAGTGAAAAAGTATTTCGGCCTTGCTTTAATACAAGATCTGCATACGTTCTCTGTTGTAAGATATTCATTTGAAGTTATCGACTGTATAGGTGAGGAAGTGTTTGATCAATAATCAGTTAAATAATTTTTAGTTTGAACTGAAATAGAAATTCCCCTGATTATGAGTTGTAACACTAACTCGTGAGGATTCCATTTTTCCCCTTGGATAGATCTATAGAGTTTCTGATATGGAACTCGTGAGAGTTCTTCCCAGCGCAGAGGATGAAGTTAATGTAGCTTCATTTCATCCTTCAGTTGGTGGTGGCTTTATATACGGAACCAAGGTTAACAAATTATTTTCTTTTAGGTGCCTCAATTTTCATTTTTTTTTTTTACATCTATTGATTTCAAGTGACTGTCAATTAATGCCAGGAGGGAAAACTAAGGATTCTTCAGTGCGGTTCATCCCATGGCTTAAACAATGACGGTTCTCGTGATCTCGGTAACAACATGCCTGAGGTATATGATCATTTGCTGGATCATGTATTGTTTCACATTTTGTTTTGATGAATTAATTCAAATTAAATAAGCTCCCTAAAAGAGTGTTCAGTCGATGATTACCACTAGGATATCTTTCCCCCTGCACAGAAAAATAGAAAAACAATAAATGAAAATAAATATAGTTTCTTTTGCTGTGTATTATTATTTGATCACTAAAGAAGTTATGGTTTATTGGTTAGGTTCAGAGGTATGCCAGTGAAAGCTGATCAAGTGCCGTCAATACCTGAGGCAATTCACAGGTTAATATTTTTTTTATTTTTTTTTCTCAAAACAGCAGCAGGTTATTCTAAACCATGTTTGGTAAATAACTTCATAGCATATAATGGCTGGTCAAATCATGTAAGACCAGATAATCTTTTAATATTGCTGATAACTGTTGATATGTTTTCCTATTTTAATAATTGTACACTGTAAGAAGAGCATTTGCAAAACACAACTCCGAGGAATTTTTTTCAGATATTTAAATTATTTATTCATTTATTTTTCATCAAGCTGCTAAACCTTGCTTAGATGTGGCATCTGTTATTTACTAATTCTAATATTTGCAAGGTACCAAAATATGATCTTGAGCAAATTCATCCCGCATTTGGTTATATCATTAGACATGAAATCTTTTAGATTTTTTTTTGGAGGGGCCTACTGATATATGTATTTTTTATTTCATTAGGTTGGAACTTAATAATGAGTGAACTTTGCTTGCAAACACCTGCTTCAGATATGTCGACCAAAAAACAATAGCAGATGCATATCTCTGCATGTTCGAAGGTGGCTAGTTACAGAGTTTCCTTTTCTCTTCCGTAAGCTGTGTACAGTTATTTGCTCCTACCATACCTGCTGCTAATTCACAAATTGGTCGATATCTGTTTGAATGTGTGACATGAAGAGCAACAGAAAAAAAGCTAATAATCTTGCAAAATGCTTTTTTTTTTTTTTTTTTTTTTTACGACAAGCACTATAAATGCAATTCAATCGAGTTCAACCTCATTCAAACACATAGAAGCTCCGTCATCATCATCATACAATGTTCTGTCAAATCTCAAATATTTCAGGTAAAACGGATGACAAGAAACACGGCTTAAGGCTCAACGGGCTACTAGCGAAAATATAACTTTAAGGGACAATGAAAAAG